ATTTTCCCCTATGCACTGCGTCTATTAGCTAACAAAAGAAGCTCTATATATGGCATCATGCATCCCAAACCCTCTTCTTCGGCTTCCCAACTTCCTTTAAAAAAGTTAACTTATCACTTGGAAAGACTGAAAAGGAAGACACTGAATGAACTCATTGAATGAACTCATTTGGCAGTCTGGCCAGCAATGTGTTTCTTCAGTAGCTCTTTGTTTAAACTTATTCTGACCGAGTTACAGGTTTTGAACTGGGGATTTTTCAGGAAGTTGTAGGAAACATCCAAACTTGGCTTGTGCTCTAGCAGATTAATTCCTTCTGGATATTCCACCTGTGCAACGGATACACGACATTCACGCTCAGCCTCCTCCAGATGTGGGGAGCATTGCTTTGTTTCAAGTCTATTCTAGTCCATTATGCTCGTGAGGAGACAAGACTTAACTCTGTTACAGTAAGCCTGCACTTGCAAAGAGTTTGTACAATCTCAGTCTCTGTTTACAACAACTGATAGTTTCTGCTGGGGGGAAGAAAACAAAACAAAACAAAAAACTCCCTTGTCAGGGGTGAGAAAGCAGATTTAAAAATCAAAATATCTCTGATATGGTGCATTGCTCTGGCACTGAGCATCAACCAGGCTCACCATGAAACTTGTAGGCAGCTGTGCATTTTTGTTCACCATGAATATATCACGTAAGGACCTATACATCTCTAGATATCAGAGAACGGTGACGCACAAACAACATTTCAGCATCTCTGAAGGAAACAAGCACACCAGGGAACTAGGGGAAGAAATTATAACTTCTTTGCCACAGAGTTTTACAACAGCAACCTCTTCTACGCTCTTGCAACTGTTATCCTACTTTTTTTTTTCCCCTGGTATCACTATGCTAGCAAACAGATGAATAATGGAATTTAAGTAACCAGAGCACAAAACACAGTATTCCTCTCTCTGGACTGGCTAAGCCATTTGCTAGACCAAGGTATTTCCTGGCAGACCTATGTACCTTTCCAGTTAACTGTTCTCAGAACATACAGTATTCTGGGTGCACCTGAACTCCTCTGGGAATACTGTAAAAACATATCAATACATCTGTCTGTGCCCATGCTCTCTGCTGATGTCACGTTCAGCGGACAAAGCAGCTAATTCTCAGGAAAACAGGCTTCTGGAACCCAATACAGAAGAAAGTATGCGTTTTTGAATCTCTCCTTGCAGAAACTACAAACGCTCAGCATGTGATGGAAGGGTCTGAGTAGCCAGGTATGCGGGGATAAACAGAGACACAGAAAAAGCAGAATCGCAGGCTTCCTATGTTGCCCTACTTTCACCCCACGACCTCAAGTAGGAGAACAGCTTTTTAGAACGACAAAAGGCTCATAAAGTCAGTCAGGTCTTGACCCACATGTGCGAAACTGCTAGTAAGAGCCCCAGCTAGGCCAACTGATTGGAAAGCACGCTGCATACTGGAATAAGCCCTTTCTCCTACGTCATCTGAACGAGTACTGGACAGGATGTTTCCCAGTTCGGTTCAAATTTGAACTGCGAGTCTGGACTGGGTCAAAGATGATGTAGTCAGCATTCTTTGGTTCCAAGCAGTGCTCCTTACAAACACTCCACATGCCAAATCTGTAATTCTCAAATAATTCCAGAAAAAAGGATATGGATTATATTTCTGTTTTACACAGGCTTCAAGAAAATCTCCCAAGATCATATGCAAAAGATGGAGCAAAGCCATCTCTAGCCCAGTCTCGTATTACATTCGTCAGGCTGTCCTTGCTAGAGACGAAGGGTCTTCAAACCTGTCCATCTACCCCAAACCAGTACCATCCACTCTTAAAAAATTTAAAGACACACATTTATAATGGTGCTTCCCGGGAAGTTTATCTGAGAATATATAAAACACTGACTACAAAAAAATAAAGAGCTAGGAAGTTATGGCAAGAGGCGCAGATACTGCATTCCCCCAGTAAGTACAAGATAAAACCACCGTGTTCTCAAATTAGCCCCAGTATTTTAATGGGACAACGCGCGTTCAGGAGGAACAGAAGGATAAAAGGCAAGGCTATCGGACCTTTCAGTTCCTTGCTGCAAGCAAGGACTCCACTGCTGGATCTCTGCGCCCTCATCACTGATGCGGGAAGAGGAACTGATGCAAACTGTTACGTTGTGCAGGATGAAGGTGGCAGCAGAAGGCCAAATGCTCTCCTCCTCTGGCAGTGGGTGCATTGCAGGAGAAGACTAAAACTCACGGGAGTAGGGGTTAACAGCCTCTCCGGACTACGTTTTTGGCAACAAGTAGCACTGACAGAAGTGGCTCTTGGGCAACGCAAGCAGCCAATAATGTGTGATTTAAGAGGAAAATGGCAAAAAAGCAGAATAAGGAGGATTGTGTGTGATAAGCCTAGTGTGCGCTCTCACCCAGCAGCATCTGGAGAGGATTTTCTCCAGCAGGCAGGGAAGAACTCGATTACATCCAGTTAACTGTGCTCTAAACTGATTATGCATGTGCCAGGCTAATGGATTACATTAGCAAGAGGAAAAATAACATCCAATCAATCTCAATTTACTGCAGACCACACCAAGGCCTGAGAGGAGAGAAACCATTCTGCAAACTACCCCCACTCCCATTGCATCTTTTCAGCTATCAAAAGAGACATGGCATCACAACCACTCTAAAGACTGGAAAAATTGAGCCGAGACCTCAGCAAAGAGCTCCGTTTACCCACAGAAAAGTTCTTCCACGAAGTCACACACCGACTCCACCTACGCTGGGGCGGGACGCCGGGACCCCTGCCTCCCTGCAATAGCAGGGCAACAGGAATCCAGCCTACGATAACACAGTCTGGCGTTTATCGAAACAAAGAAAAGTCCTTATCAGCGTATTTCATGGGCTTTATACAGACACATTAGAGAGTTAACATACAGACCATACAACGGATTCCAGTACTTTGAAACACGTTATCCTTTGCCGGGTGTTTCACTGCTGCTTTCGCGTCAGAAGCGACGTCAGCCTGTAACAAGTCGGAGAATTGCCCAGGCCTCTCATGAATCTGAGCGCTGACAACAATTTCTCTCTGCCTGTCTGAGGAAAGCATTTCAGGAATCTTTATTACATGCATCTACATCCCCCAACCTGACTCTCTGCAATTTTCTTTTTTTCTTTTCCTCCCCCTCCTCCTCTCTTTTTTTTTTTTTTTTGGCAAGGTCGGAGGAGAATTCTAGCATCCTAATTGCTTTTTCCCCAGTAGTAATCACTGTAACTGAAGGGTCTAGACCAAGAATCTTTAAACCCTAGCAGTACATATTTAAAGAACAACATAAGTGTTAAAACTCACAATAGAGCTTTCAAATAACGCTTTTGCACCCCAAACTGAATTCCACAGACAGACAAGATCCCTCAGCTGGCTTTTTAAAGTCTCAGTAGGATCCTCTTGCCCCCAGTTTCCAAGCTCGTTTTATTCTTACACCTCTCAGAGCAGAGGAAGAAGAGCAGACCCGACCATTTTCAGACCCAGGCTCTGCTCGCTGGCTCCCAGCTGACAACGGTATCATCGAACGTCACTGAAGTCTTGGTCTTAACAGGAATACATTCGTCCTCTGAGCAGTCCCCTATCAGCACTAGCCAAGTCTGAGAACCACATTTCAAGGCGCTCCTCCTATCATGCTCCTGGTTCTGTCTTTCCTCTCTGAATTTGCTGAAACAGTTCATTCCCAGGAAAAAAACAGTGATTTTCAAATCTAACATGTCTGTATCTTCATATGGGTGGGCTACTGTACAGTTTAAGGTAAAGTTTTACAATCCCATTACGTACAGAAAAGCATTCAAAGAAATAACAAACAACAACAAAATGTGGTCTGTGTGTACGTATCTATGTATATCTGTATCTCTCTCTCTCTCTCTAAATATATATATATATCTATATATATATATATAAAAGACCTCACACCACATTTGGGGAAAAGCATAAAGAAAAAAGTGAGGACAGAAAGAACATAAAAATTGAGAGAACAAAATGACAATGAGCGGGACAGCACGTGTGAATGGGAGGTGCGTGGCTGCTCAGATTTATGGCAATTCATACCTGATTGTTCATACTAAAGCCATTATGGGATGATTAGAGAAAAAGGTGAAGCTTTAAGTCCAGCGAAAATCAATAGAAACGTCTGGAGCAATTCTGCTGCACGAGTGAAAGGACTATTTACTGTATCCGGAGCGCCTCTTGGGTTACAGCCCACAGTGTTCAGACTGGGGAGGGGAAGGGGATGGGGAATGAGAGAAAAATAAGTCAGAAAAAAAGAAGGTAGTTACAAAGACGACACACAAAGAAGGAAGAGAAAACAAGATGGAGTCACAGGCTAAATACTGCCATGGATGAAAACCTACAACGCCTCCAAACACTGGCCACACATGCGGACAAGTACATGCATGCTTAAACAAATTTCTGCTCCAGGCTTCTCTCTCTTTTCCAGACTTGAGTCTGTTTACGGATGCCAGCATTAACACATACTGAGCATAAAAACATGGAAACAGCAGCCCTCTTCCTCACTCCCTGATCCATCTAATCCACCCAGCCCTCTCAAAACCAGGATCAACACACTCGTCTGAGAATATCAAAAGCCTTCATGTTCTTCTGCAGGATCTTCTGCAGAACCAGCTTATGGAAAACACTTTACAATGGCAAATGCTATACTGTACGAACCCTTTCAGCAGTGACTGTCGAATTGTCATGCATAAAAGTATCACTGAACACATAAGCAGTGCTGTTAAGACACATAAGCACCCATTAAAGCACCCTGAAATGGGCACTTACTGGCCGGCACATCACTTTAAAAGAACATATTTGCTAGCAGAACACAAGTTGAAGAGCTTAAGAGAAACCGGGTTCCACTTGGAAGATCTGAAGGCAGTTCTTCTCCAAAGGATCTCAACCATTGCACTCAAAAATATGTTTTCCTTTGTCCCAACATTTGGGCCCTGAAAAAAGATTAAGCAAAGCCAACCCTTACCTTATAGAGCTTCAGGCTGGCCTCATGCCTCGAGTTCACCGTGTGGAGACGCAGCTTCTCTAGACTATTGGTGTAGTAGTCACAAGCATTGCATTTCAGATGTACAGGATTCCCAATGGCCACACACTTCAGCCTCCACTCATTGGCCTTGCCACCCTCCTTGATATGTGCTACCAGCTGGTATTTCTGCACGTGCTTGTCCGTCTTACAGTGGAGTTGGAAGTTTGCCTTGAGCTGCGTGTTGTAGCGGCACAACTTGCACTGGTATGAGTCCCCCATCACTGCCTTCCACTCATCTTCAGGGAGGCTACGCTCCACGTTCATGTGGAGGCCCAGCATGTCCAGATTATCTGTAGTGAACTTGTTGCACACAGCACACTGGAAGAGCTTCAGCGATGGGTCATTTGTTTGTGTGAAACTTTCACCCAAGTTCATTAGCTCCTCAGATACCAGCTGTCCGCCACCTAACCGCATGTCCAAGGGGATCTCTCCACCCACTGCACGAAGGAAAAAGGGGAGAGAAACGTCAGGAAAGCTACATTCTTTATTTGCCAGAAGAGAAGCACAGAGCAGAACACATGCTCTCAGCGCAATGGTTACACCCACCAAACCTGCAGCAAAAGCCAAGCACAGCAGTCCCTTCACTTATTCCTCTGTGCTGCTGGTCGGTACCACGTGCGAAGAAAAAGGCAATAGCAGCCAGCATGTATTTTACGTCCAGTGGGAAAGGAGTGCAGCAGCCCTTGCTATCCACCTTGTAAATGCCAAGCTCTGAAAGAGAAGTACCCAACCCTCCGCCCAAGAGAATCTACTTCCTGCACAGTTTCAGTAGAGAAAAATTTCCTGAGCGTTGCACTGAAAGTCTCTGTAACCACGTCAAGAGAACTAGATCATGCTTTACTCTGTTTTTTCTTACCAACCTGGAGAAGCAAGAAATGTTACTTCGTATGAGGTACTTCGTACCTTCTGAGCACGGTCCTTGCCTGAAAAAAGAATGGTGAACTTGGCCATAAACCCAAGTGATAGGAGTATTGCAGTCGGGTTACTGTGTTGCAATCGGAAGCAGAAACAGTGCAGAAAGCAGCAAGGACAAAAGCCTCTCCGAAAGTGTCATTCCTGCAGTATCAGGCCTCATCTCTCGTCCAAGAGAGACTATTCAAAATGGTAGACAGTCTTCTAAAAACAGTGTTGATAGGTGCATTGTATGCCCAAGGAAAAGACAAGCACTGCTAAGAATAGGAACGCAAGAGAACGTCAGGGAAAGCCAGCAGGAAGCTTACTATCTTTAACTGTCACAGATCTGCTCTTCAAGCCAGGAGCCAAATTTTATTCACTTACAGCAAAATGAATGCAGCAAGCTCTGATTTACATCAGAGTACTTTGAAGATGTGGACAGAGAGACTTTTTTCTAACATTAACTTCTTGTGCCAAAGCACAGAGACCAACCACCAGTCTCTCCCTAGGATCTCTGCTCCACCTTGCTCCCTTTTTCCATTCTGAAGACATTTACTCACTCCCTGCAGCTTTTTGGTATTATACCTTGATCTTATGTCACAGCTTGGCTTAAAAGCTTATTTTATCAAAGCAACCTTCAGGTCAACAGCTACTCAGTCAATCGAAAACAGAGATTTTTTATTTCCTTAACTTTTAGTTTCCTACATTTCAATCTGTTTGCTGGGAAAAAGCCAGCACTGGGAGGACACTCACAGCTCACTAACCTTTCTGAAAGCGTATCAACACAGCTGGTGCAGACTGGAGCTTTGGGCAGGGTAAACACTACTGGTTTTCCTGCAAAAATGCAATGCCACAATGTTCAGTGCAGTTCTAGGCAGGAAGAACCGCAGCTTACAAGATAACCTGAATGCTAAGTTTGTTAGAGGAACAGCAATTCGCTTTCATCAAGCGTGTCTTGTACTTACATAAAGAAGAAGTGGTTAAGAGAAGGGAAGTCCCATTTGGATGCACTGCCATTCCCCTGTGCCACCTTCTCAGAAAAGGGACTTGTCTTGCCATCAAAGTAGTCACAATCCTTTCTTCCTATCCACTCTATCCCCCCCACCAAGGCAGAACTGTGCCCTCTGTACAACTGCTTCTGCGTACCTGCTCACTACATATTCCAGAGACACGAAACCCACCACTTGCCTTCTCCAGTCTGTATCTCCTAATCAATGATTTTTCTAAGTCTTCCTCTGAGGATATATCCTGAAATCCTTTCTTTGAATCAGTCTATCCTAAACACATCATGTAGTAAAAACCTGAAAACAGAATATTCTGAATTATTAATATTCTACTCAAACCCAGTTTTGGACTGAAGTGTAAAAATGGGAAAAATCTGCTTCACCTCTAGCAGTTTAATAATGTGCGTGCATGTATAAAAAAATTTGTATCTACATCTATAAAAGACATACAGATGTACAAGCAAGCAAATAACATGACAGACAACTTCTAGACCCTTCACTTTTAGTTAAGATGTGCCCGTGCAGAGCAAAGCTACTCTTCTAGGATAAGTCTTTTACTTGGAGTCTAATAAGCTGAGCTTGTGTCAAGTGCTTATTGACATGGGAACGGCCTCCCGCCATGATCCCTAGCTCAAGATTTGTAATCATCAAGCATACAACGTAAAAATCACTCTCTACACTCACATTCATTCAAGGCCTTGTGATGTGCTTTAGGAGACTTTAGTTAAAATACTTCCGAACTTCGCTCATGCCAGCCTCCCTGTATTTAAATAAGGGGGGGGCTATGAACTCCAAAAGGAGCTCCAAGAAACCCAGCGTGGATGACGCTATAAATTTTACACACAATAAGCTACATTACAAATGGCTGGCAATTTTATCTTTTGGCAGCTTGGAGCAATTGGAAAATGCGCTCAAAAAATTATGTCCTTGACCTCCCAAAGATGCAAGCTGGGACATCACAGAAAAAAGAATTACTTTAATTCATAGCCACTTGAGTGCCTTTGTTTTCTTTTTCACTTTTTTAGTATCTTGTGTTGTTGTTCTCTCATACGACTTTAATGTCCTTCTAGACTAATAAACTGTACTATGAATAGCTGAAGGAAAGGAGAACATGCATGAGACCAATGAACCAGTAATGCAGTGCATCAGTAATAACAGCATCAATGGATGGACAAGGTTAGAAAGGGCAGAGTGCAGCACAGAGAAATTAGTTCAGAGGAAAGCAGGTAAAGTGGCAGATTTCTTTCCACACACTTTCTCAAGGCACTATGAAAAATTCTCAGCAAAAGCAAAACAAAGTAGAGGCAAGAGCCATTTCAGTTAGTATCTGCCATGTCATAAGTGTTATGGTGCATTTTGTTATGCTTCGGCTTTTATCCTAGAGTGCTGTGAAGTTCAAACGCACAGGGAAGCGTGCGTACTCTTATCAAAAGGTTGCTGTCAGGAATGTTTTGACAAAAGCAGTATGGTGGAAGTACTTTTAGGGACATGGCTCTCCACCCCCATTCGGAGTCTAATTCTTGGGCTAAATTCTGTGGAGAGACAGAGTGCCTTTTCTGGTGTCTCTCACGCTGTACCAAGCATAGTGCACACAAACATGAAAAAATGCTTGTTTTCAGGAAAAAACACATTTCATAGTTTATTTTGAAGTGCTTTTTGTCATGAGAGGAATGATCTTTTCTCCCTATAGCCGTTCTTCTTCAGTTTAATAATTCTCCTCCAGTCAAGTCTTGAATCACGCATCGCATACTGGCATCAGAGGAATGGTTTCAGCTCAATCTCTTCAGCAGAGGAACAACATCTCTTCTACAGGAATTCATCACACCTTTCAAAACTTGCTTACTTTTTCCTCTCAGGGCAACACAACAATTCCCTAACAAAGCAACTCAACATCTACCTTTGAGAGAGCTAGCAACTGATCAGACTCTATCACAAAGCCACCCGTAAAACGGCATTCAAGTACCTTACCAAACCAAGAAGAAATCATCAGGAAACATTTGGAAAGCATCCTTACTTCTGCAATTATGAACATTTAATGTTTGTTAGCAATACCCCATACCCACTGTTTCATTAGCTCCCTACCAAAATTCTTACAAAACACACAAAAAGTGTGCATGATTTTCTCAGGATGAGAAAGATGGTCGGGGGGAATACAGAAGACAGGTTTCTACCACGTAGTCTTCATCCTTGACGATTATGCAACAGCCACTCACCGCGTTACAGCAAGCTGCAAAGACAGCAGTTGGCACACAGCACCCTATCCCGCACGAGGGTTTCTGTAGTCCCGAGATCGCAATCCCTCCCTTACACGCAGACACTGCTCAACAGGAAAGCAGTTCAACCTCACCTAGAGATGGAGCCATTGTTGCCATTGGATTGGTGGGATCCAGCTGGAATCCCCCCATCATGAACTGTGCGTCAGAGGAAGTGCTGTCCATCTTCAGGTTGGGAAGATTCATGTTCTGCGCCAGGTAGTACTGATAGAGCTCTGCCTCAGCAGGGGATGGCAGGCTACCGAGGCCCAAGTGCCGGTTGTGTTGGATTTGGGACATATTTTGCTGAAGCAGCATCATGTTGTGCATGTGCTTCTCACTGGTCATGTGAATACGAAGGTTTCTAGCTACATTGGTCTCATAGTCGCACACCTCGCACCGCCATGTCGGTTTGGTTTTTGGTTTGGTGGGGGAGGGGGCCCCACAGGTGCTACCAATATTTGCTGCTGCTGCAGCTGCAGCTGCTGCTGCAGCCGCGGCTGCCCCAGCAGTGTGGCTGAAGACTTGCTCTCCCCCTCCGTTCTGCAGGTTTTGCATGTTGTTGAGATGCTTATCAGACTGCATATGAATACTGAGGTTGCCTTTGGTAGTAGTGGAGTAGTTACAGACCTCGCAGCGGAAAGGCTTGTAACCACAAGTGTAGCTCTCACCCCGTGCCAACCGCGGGTGTGGCTGTCCACTTTTGCAGTAGACACATGAGCCACCCGGCTCGGGATGTTTCTCCTTCATGTGCGCCTCAAGCGTCTGCTGGTACTTGTAGTGCCAATTGCACTTGGGACACTTGAGCGTCTTACATGAGTTGCGAGAATGCATCATAGTCATGTGGCCACCTAGCGACCGCGAGGAGCCCAGGACAGTGTCACATTTTGGGCACTCCACGCCACTCCCCGAGGGGCACTCCCCACCCCCAAGTTCACAGAGGGGGCCAGCATGCTGGTGATGGGAGATGTAGCTCCCGTCCTCGCCCTCTGCACTCTCATTTGGTTCTGGTGCTGTGGCATTGTCTTTATTGGCACTTTCATCGATAAAGTCCAGCCTCCTGCTGCCCTCTGCCACATTGGCTCCACCGCCCTCATTGTTAAAGCTTAAGTGATTCCTCCTGTTTGCACCATCAAAGACAAAGGAAGAAGCAGAATTAGAACTAGTAGAAGCTGTGCCCCGTGACAGGGTCTGGAGCACGTTAGGCATTAAGGGAGAGTTAGAAATGCTTTGGTTTGAGAGAGCAAGGTCCTTTTTGCTGCTGCTGCCTGACACAGCCCCAGATTCCTCCTGGGGCCTGTCCTCCAATTCATCCTCCAACTCACTCGGAAACAGTCCTTTGCAACCCTCATCGTCATCTTCCTCTTCCTCTTCCTCCTCTTCTTCCTCCTCCTCCTCCTCCTCCGCATCTTCCTCTTCTTCATCCTCCACCTCCTCAACTGGCTCTGCCTTTTCCGAGAGGCTATCCTGGTCACCCACTTCTTGCTTCTCGCTCTCTGCTACCCCAGGGTCCTTTCCCTCTGAGGATTTGGTAGGACTGGAAGCCAGCGGGCCCAGGGGGACTGAGGTAATTGGAGTCTTCAGAGCCGAGCTGGTCAGCCCACCAAGGTTCAGGAGTGCACCAGGTGCCAAGATGCCTGACTGTGGCTGCTCTGTTCCACTGGCAGTCCCGGCCTGGAGAGCCTGTTCACCTTCCATTCGAATGCCACTGAATTTACCATAAAAACTGTGTCCAGGGCCTATGAGGTTAGCTGCAGAAACAAGAGGGTGTTGAAAGGTTTTGTTTTTTGGTTCCAGAAAACTTACAAGGGGTTCCTTGTCCTTGCCTATCCCTTGGATGATAGCGGAGATGTTCTTATTGCTAAGAATTTTCCGCACTTCCTCACTCAGAGTCATTCGGTGATCATGTACCGCATGGGTCACAAATGAGCGGACATACCCAAAGGAGAGCTTACACAAGAAACACATCAGGATGGGCTTCCTCTTCCCATAGAGCACAAAGCCATCAAATTTGGACAGGTCCACATTGTTGGGAACATCTTTGGATACACAGGAGCTTTTGGCAGAACCGTCGCTGTTCAGGTAATCCTTGTTGCTTTTGTGTCGCACATCGAAAACGCGGAAGCTGTGCAGGACGGGGCTGATGCCCGCCAGGGCTGAGGTATTCGGGAAGGACTGGTCTGAGCCCTCAAACCATTTCCCGAAGGATGAGGCTATGTGGAAAGTATTAATGATCTGTGGGTAGACGGGTGCGGCAGAGGAGGGTTCTCCTTGCTTGCCCCCAGCGCTGGGTAGAGAGTTCATGAAGAGCGAAGGAAGAGCCCCACTGCCGTTGCCATTGCCACTGCTACAGGCTCCCCCACTTTGGATCAGCTGGCTGACGCTCTCAACGATGTACGCCGAGCCATCTGGCTGGTAGACGATTTCACCAGCCAGGTTCTCCACATCACTCTCTTCGTCCCCTTCCTCACTGCTGTCACTCCCACTCTCCTCCTTCATCGGAGGGGGTGGGCGGGCGCTGGCGCAATGGTGCTCCATGTAGGTCTGTAAACTGGCGAAGGAGGCCGAGCACTCGTTGCAGCTGACCTCTTTGCTAGTGGACTCAGTGCTGGGGCCGGCTGAGTTGGTGCTGTCTGGGATGCGCTCATTAAAAGGGACCCTCAGGCTGTCTAGGGGCCCGTGGTTTTCTGTTGTGGACTGCTCCATGCTGCTGGGCTTGTCGGGGAGGTGGGTGCTGTTGAGATCAGTCCATTGCTGGTGCTGAGGGATGCCACACCCATTGTCCTTCCCGGAGATGACAGGCGAGTCACAGCCCTCCATGGTAAGGCCTGCATGGAGCTTTCATTGCACCCAGTACGGCTTGGACCTAAAGGCAGACATGGGGATGTGGGGAAGGGGAGAAAGAAAGAAAGGCAAGTAAGTCGGAGACAAGACACAGCCGGTTTCCATAAAGAACAGCCACCACAAATGCCGACGGACCCTGGACTCCTCAGAATCAAACGAGAGCTCGTGCCCCAGGAGTAAGCTCCCAAAATAGAAAGTCTAATCTAAGGTTAATGCAAAGAGTGCGGCACTGCTGAAAACAAGCAATGGAAATACGGAGGTGCTTTCTGCCTTCCCCTCCCCTGACCCACTGAGGGACGTAGGAGAGCAAGAGGCAGACGGAAGGGACTTGGAAGGGGGTGAAAAACGCCCCCCTCCCTCCCCAAACAGGGAAAGGAAGATTGTAGGACCTGCATTTCCAGCCCCAAAGGCTTAGATCTGTAGAAAAAACAAAATTAAATATTTAACAGAAAAGCCCTTGACAGGAACAGAATCAAGAAACTACAACAGAACGGTGCCGGAGCTTAAAGACTCTGCAAAAATTGTGCTGCAGACTCACTCCCGTCATATCTGTGGCTCGTTATGCCGAGTGCAATTCCCTCAGTCAGACCGCTTCAGACGGTTCCTTTCCGTTAGCAGTTCTGGGAACACAGAAAGCGTCCTGGGCTTACAGTCTTTACACGTTTACCTCTGTGGTAGACCATCACAACCCAGAGCAATTCCCAAGGATCTCAAAATAACAGAATTTAGTATGCATAGGAGATTTAATTACTCTGCTGTGCTCTGGACAGAATTTAAACTGCAAGACGTCAGGAAAGAAACCAAACAGGAAATTCCAGATCTGACAAGGGCCCATCCTGACTATCTGAACGTGGTCAGCGCAACACGCGTCAGGAAGCCCCCAGAAATCCGGCCCTGCACAGCCTCTGTGCGCAGACCGCTTCCTCTCAACCCTCACGCACCAACGGCCAGTTTGGGTCCCACAGAGCACAGATGCACACCACTCCTATGCTGCTGAACATAACGAGACCTAGCGAACACCCACCGACAGCGAGGCAGCTGGTGGACTCTGACCGCTGAGCGTTACCAGCACCAACTGCTCCTCGCTGCCTCCTTACCATTTGCTGTGCTCTGCCAGCGCCTCGTATGCTGCAATCCTGCCCGAGCCCTTTAGGTGACCTATCTGTGAGAGTAGGTCTCCCATTAGGGATTGGAGCATCATACTGCAGACTGTAAATTAGCAAGAGATTGCCAGTTCAGCTGCAAACCTAAGAGGAATTCTGCCTGCAAAGAGACATTGCTACAGAGTCTCCTTCCTATAGAGAGCTCCTCTACAAGCCAAACGGGAAGAAACAGCAGCAGAAATTAAAATCCTATTACCAACAGAACCAACCTGGGCTCCACAGATTTCCCCCTGTATACAGATACAAAGCATCCCTTAAAGACAACTGAGGAAAAACTATACGTACAGATGCCAACTGCTCCACGTTTTTAGGATCTGTGAATCAAGGATCAGCCAAAACCATTAATCCAGAACATGAGTCTGCCAACACGGTGCAGGAGTTCTTCCACAGCAGTTTATCCTCTACCAACGAGATGCAAACACTGCTTTGCTTGTCAGACTATTTCAAAACTGAATACATACTTGGAGAGTGTTTTTGTTCATACTCAATATAAGGTTTTCGACCTTTAAATTTAAGGCATTTTACAATATGTTGTTATTCTTAAGCTCAATGGGATTTAATCTAAAAAATAAATTTTTAGCATTTATAGTTGTATACATTCTTTCACGTCTTTCCTAAAATCTTCATCATTTATTACAGCTTCCTCTCTGTACTATAGCTTTCTCACAGCTGCTCTTACCTCGACATCCTCTAATTCGTCACTCTGTTTTGGCTCAAGACATTACCCAAGTTTTGGGTAGACTAGATCTATCAGGTAGGACCACTCCATCACCAGTTTACACAGAAGAGACTTGCATCCATACAAACTGACACTACATTTTCATTTTTTAAAGCTCCCTTACTTTGAAAACTCCAGTCTCATTAGCAGCCTTCTACTGCCCTTATTCTCTTTCAACAGAAGCCATTGACGTTTTGACAAACTAAACTGCTATCTAAAGGTTAAATAATATAATCATAGTTAGAAATTTTTCCAGTGCTTTCTAGCTTGATTTGAATGAGACATGAAAGACCCTTGTGAGCTCCTTCAGAGCAATATGCCTGTAACACAGATAACCAACTCTTTCACCCCAAGACAACATCCACCTGATAAGCACATTGCATTTAATTGTAACAATACTGAGGGAACCTTCTTTTGCACAGATATGTAAGTACTACTCCAAAAACTGTCAAAAGAGAAGAAAAAAAGTATGAAATAAACTGAAAATTGGTCAGAGAACAGCTCACCAACTGCAGTGCTGATAACATAACACAGAAGTGTTGAATGAATTATCTTAATTCAAGCCTAAGAAAATTCAACATTAGATGATATCTCTTTTTCCTAGCTTCATCATCTACCAGTTTATTTTTCCTTACTACAATAAGCCATACTTTTTCCGATTTTCCATCAGTGCTCATCTCTTTTCTCCTTGTACTGTCTCCTATGTAATTATGTACATGTAATGAGAGATGCGTCTATCTATAACATGTATATTTATATGCCTTCACTCTCTCCAAGTCTACGATAATATTATAGATGAAATTAATAGCAATATTTTAAGATACATCACTCCAGGTGATGGACCACTCCAGGTTAGAAGAGGATCTCTCTAGTCTATCCTCCAAATACTGCAGTTCCTTCTGGGGGTTACTTCTGCATACTCTTTGGGAACACAATCCTTAAATGCTTCCGGCTAGTCATTATTTTACAACTCTGACTCCACTTTCCCCTGCTGCACAGAAAAGCGGCAGCTCTCCCAGCAAGCAACAGAGCGCACTCCAGCCGCTGAAGGGAAGCGGGCTCCCCCCGGTCCTCAACCCCGGCACCGAGGCTCAGCTCGCACCCGCGGCGCGGCGGGAAGCAACACGATCCTTAAAGCTCTCATTGCTGCCCGCCAGACTTGGACTCTGAACGCGTCTGCCCGCCCAGTTGCGTGCTCTACTTCACTACGGGCAAAGCTTGAGAAAAAGTATTTACAACTCTCAGTTAAGCGAGAAAGTAACATTTCTCAAAGCAAGCGGGGAGACGCCATCTACGGAAGGACATCGTTGGGGCAATGGTTCAACGAGACAAAGCGTTCAGATACAACATTAGCTTACAGCACTTCCGATCCCAACTTGCCTTCAACCTTATGCCATAACACAGCTGTCTGCGTGGTTGCCCTGGGAATGAATATCAGTTTGATCTGAATTAAAAATAACCTGGTGCATTGCATGGAAGGGAGTAAGAAGGAATACTGTAATCCTGTCACCAAAAGGCTCAGACCTATTAAGCCGGTTTTGCTTACCTTGGCTAAAAACGACTTTTTAACGCTGCCTTGTAACAGCTAGTACTACCCAGCTCTCTCCCACCGAACGTTTGTACTTAGCTATGCGTTTTTGTTAAATTCGTCCCAGATGATTCTGTGTTGAGGCTGCACAGTCACTTTTCCACAACATGACATATTCTTTCCCCCTTCACTGCTACCTTATGCATTGAGAACTGGATTCCCATCCAAATTCATACCGGGTGAAAAACTGAGATAAATAAGAAACTCCAAAACTCTTTAACTAGTGTATGCTCAGTAGGCAACATTTTGCATTTCCGTCAAGAAAAGTTTTAGGAATATCTAGGCAAACTTCAAAATGTGATGTGAAACGACCACCATACTTTCAAAATGCCTAGAACAAAGCATTCAGTTTCCCAGGCTGGACAAAAAAGTTCCTCTTGTGTTAAAACAAGCAAATAAATAAAGATCAACGTTAAGCAGACAGTAAAATAACAGAGTACACCGAGTTTCCCAAGAACACGTAGAGGCACAATATGAATTCTGAGAGGCTTCACTATCCTGAACTCTGGGTTGGCAGAACGATGCCCAATTGACAGTTGGGCCAAAAGGGTTAGCAGGGCTGATGGGGCGGGAGGGTTAACAGCCTGATTGCAAAATCAATGTAATAAATGCTTGGTAAGTTACAGGAACATGCGGGAAGAGGAGGCCGCGATTGATAAAGGACTGCGGCTTTGATGCTGCACTGGGGACTTGTTTATTGACAAGAAAGCCAATCTCTTCTCCCAGCCAGGCCAGACCAAGCAAACCTGCAAGCGCTTACCAATTAATTGGTGGGCTTTTCTGCCTTGTGTTGCTTTAACAACGCTCCCCTCACTCAGCAAGTTAATCAGCTTAGGAGATGCCTCTCTAAGAGCTCGCTCTTCATTTGCTTTCTTGACATGGAGCCCTTTCCAGGCAGGTGAAAACCCTGCAGTCAAAACATGACCTGCCCGCACCGTCCAAGTCCCTGGACAAATGCCAAGCCCCTACTCAAACCAAAAAGTTTTCTTGCCCACTCAGTGCATCCTCATCAGAGCTATTCCCAAAGAATGAAGCTGCAGGAAGAAAAGGCACAGAAACATTTGTTTCCATTCACATAGGAATTGCAGATACCAGGCCTTTAAACTGAAAAGAGCAATTTCCTTGTTAAAGCAAACCAGACTTTAAACACGAGTACTATACGTTGTTATTAGTTCACCATTACGGGCCCTGCATCTCCCTCCACCCCTGAACCTGACGCTCAGCATCTCTAAGTGACCCAAAGGTAGGGCAATGAGAATTTATGAAGACCGACCGACCCTCCCGCACAATCGCTGTCTGCGAGTGCAACACTTCCCCATCCTCTTCCCGTCTCTCCCCCCACCCTTTTCACTCTGTTTATCAGCCAGTCAATAAGAAAAGGTAGTTCTTACTTAAGGAGGCAGAAGTCAACTCGTCAGGTCGATCAGCACTCTGTCTGTAAACATGGTTTCCCGTAAAATCAATGAACTTCAGTTACAGAGAGAACAGTCTGGGAACCTGAAGACTCCCTGCACTCCTCCCCACCTGCCACGAGAGCAGAGCCGAGGATTTCT